GCAAGCACTTATTCTACTGAGCTATCTCCTTGGCCCAAGGTTTTTTTTTTGTTGTTGTTGTTTTTTTTTGTGGTACCAGGGATTGAACTCAGGACCCTGCACTTGCCAGGCAAGTTCTTATTCTACAGAGTGATCTCCCCAACCCCTAACAACATTTTAAAACATCTTTCTGGGTTCTTTTCCCTTGATTCTCAACATAAATCTGACTAAAAGCCACCAACAATAGCCATGCCACGACCTCAACATTCTACTGCCTTGAAATTGCTTTCTCAAGATTAATCAGTCAGTCATCCATATTTAATATGAGTCTCAGGAAGTCTTTGGAAATGAGCAAAACTCAGACAAACTTTCTCCTAAGCCATAACACATCATCTGGAGTCCAACCGGTGAGTCCTTCCTCCCAGCAGAAACCTCTCCAGCCTGGTCTTTACAGGAAGGATTTCTATCAGCATTCTGTTCTTCTGAGCTCTGACCAGAATGTCTCATGTAGAACAGCCGAAGCTGTTCCAGTGCTTTCTCTGTAGGCAACATCTCTGAATATTTCCTATCTCTCCCCGTAAGCCAGTCCCAAAAGCTCATAATCCACATTGTTAGGCTTAGTCACAGCAATAATCCTACTCCTCTGGTACCAATTCTGTCTCAGTTACTCTTTTCTTGTTGCTGGGAAAAAATACTCAACATCCAAAATTAGGGGAGAAAAGGTTTATTTATCTCACAGTTAGAGGAGGTTTCAGTCCATATGCAGCTGGCTCCAAGGGAGAGCGGCACATGAAAGGCAGCAGCAGTTCATGGTGGTGGAAAATAGCAAAGAGCAAAAAGAGTGGCAGCAGCTGAGGCAGCTAGCAAGCCTCTTTCCCCTCCTTACATCATAATGCAGATTACCTGCCCCAGAGCAAGTACAACAGCCACACCTACAATCCTGGAACTAGACCAAGAGTTAATCACAAACTTCAGAAGCTGCTCCATGATTGCACGTTGTTTTGGGGAAACAACTAGACACACACCATAACAAACTCCAAGCTAAGAGCTGTGGCTTTGATTCTTAATCATGTGAGTTGGGCCTTCATCATTACTGCTCATTTCTCTACAGAGTTCTCCATCTCTCGTTCACCTCTTATTTCTGTAGCTGCTCATTCTGACCTCAGCCCTCTTCTCACTTATGTTTCAAGGGACCACCCATTTGTCCTTCCAGCTTCAGCTGCACATCTCCTCTGATGGATCCCACTTTGTATTCATTTCTCCTTTCCCAGGTTACCAAGATCTGGTTTCATGGGGTGTAACCAGTTCAGAAGAACAGAACTTTGTGACTAGAGGGGGCCATGGCTTTCAAATTTAACTTTATACTTGTCACCGTCTTAAAGGTAATAAAAAATTGTTTTTGAATTTTGAATTGGTGTTTTATAAATTCATAAGTTTGCTGGCACTGCCATAAAATACCCCATACTGAGTAGTTTAAACCATATAAAACTATGTCTCACAGTTCAGAGACCGGAAATCCCAACCAAGATGCCAGCAAGGTTGGCTTCCTCTGAGTCATAAGGGCAGCCTCTGCTCCAGGCCTCCCTGGAACACCTCTTGCTGCCTTTCATGTGTCATTCTTCTGTGCTCATGGGCCTGGTATTTCTCCATGTATTTGTCTTCTAAGAACACCCATTACATTGAATTAGCACCACGCAAGAGGCCTCATTTCACCTTAATTACCTCTGTAAAGGCCCTGGTTCCAAATACAGTCATTGCTGAGGTACAAGGGTCAGAACATATGAATTTGGGGGATGCACAACTTAGTACAGTGCATGCAGGGTGGTGGTCGATGGAACATGCTATTCGGCCTCAGAGGCCTACCTCATTGGCAGGTCTCCCCGAAATATGTTCTCAGCTGCCAGCCCCCCACCTCTTAGCCTCCCCCAAATCCAGAACTCTAGCCCTTCAAAATAATATGGATACAGGTGCAGAAAGAACTAGAGATTAGCTTCCTGGCCCAGAAGTGGCATGTTTGGACTCAGCATGGCAGGGGTAACCCTTGTACCTATCCCAAATCCAGGTGTTCATTGTACCCTGGCAAACAGCACAGTTCCTTGAAGTTCCTTAGGGTGCACGCATCAGGCAACAGGCTGCATGGAGGGAATCCGACTTCTCTTCCTTGCACCCTTGCTTCGACTTCTCTCCCTGTCAGCCCGCTTGGAATACACAGATACAAAAGCTCTTTCACGCATTCTCAGGGGACGCTGGATGCCGTGAAGCTACATCACAGACCTCTCATGATTTGTCCCTGCTAATCTTCCCAGCCTCACCCTGCCACCTTCACCACTGAAGTCCTACTGAAGGAGCGCTGCCACCTCTGCACGCGTTCACTCTTCGTGCCCCCTTCATGCCTTGCATATGCTTTTTCTTCTGCCTACAGGGCAAGCACTTCATTACCATTGTAACAAAATGTGACATGTCTTCAAAATTAAAATCACACATTCTATCTTAGTAAATCCTTACTGCCATCTCTCATGTCCCATCACTGAAGGGGAAACAAAGAGCTCCTTTAGGTCTTTATGAATCTCCTTTTATAAGGATCATAACATAAAATGTTTATTTTCTTGTCTGTCCTTTTTACTATATTTTGAGCACTCCTGAGGGGGCAACAACAGTGCTGTAATCACTGTATGTTCCAGGTGTGGGTGCAGAGTTGAGCACAGCATCTGCACATATGAACCGGTCAAGGGAGTGGTGAAGGTGTGATGGAATGAGCTGGAGCATGAGCTGATGGCGAAGAGCCTGCATTTTGGAGTCAAATAGTCCTTGGTTTCAATTCTGATTATTATTGTGATTGGAAGGAAATTACTTTTAAATACCAAATTTTCTAATCTTGGAATGGGGCAAATATAATTTACCATGATGCACACTGTTGGTCAAGTACTATTGGTAGACATCCCCTGTGAGTCTTGTTCCTAGATTTCTGTGAGCTGGACAGTTGTTTCGGAATGCAAAGACAAAATTGAAAGCAGTGAATCTGGATTCTGGCAGATTAGTTTACTATCAACAAAACTGCACTCCCTTAGTGCGAGACGCAACATATTGCAGGGAAACAAAATAAAGTAGGTTTAAGGGAGTTAAAATATGTACCCTATGCTAAAGTAGAAAAGGACAGATGCCATAGGAGTGGCATCCAGCTGTAGGTTGGAGCTCACTTGCAGCTGAACAGGCACGAAGTTGGCCTAAAAGAAGCGCTATTTGAGATGCACCTTGAAGGAAAGTTGAAAGGTGTTGCTTCTCTTGGGCAAGAAAGAAGGAAATGCAGCCAGCAAACAGCAGAGACACCTAGCAGAAACCCGTGAACTCCGCTGCCTCATTGGTGAGCTCCCTGGCGCTACAGCCTTGGCTTCTAAAACTAATGATGAGCAGCCCATCTTTTTTACACAGACAGATGTGGCCAGCCCTCTGCCTCATGACCCCTTGGTACTCCAGCAGACCAAGATCTCCTGAAGCTGACAGCAAGCGTGGAACCCGTGTGCATCATGGCCTCAGTGCAGCAGTTCTGTCCCTGTGCTCTTGAAACAGTTTTACCAGACACAGAGGACATCCAGCGATGACTGCCTCTCAAGGCTGAGAACTTCTATCATCTCTCCTTGCAGATAGGCAGATGCCATCGTCCATAACTCAGCTGCCTGTGAGAAGGCATATGCAACTTAGACACACAACACTACAAAGGTGGTTTCCTATATTTCATTTTATATGTGGGAATGAAGCTACTTTCAAAGAATCAGGGACTCTGAGGTCGTTTCCAGGAATGCCATCTCTTGGGGCACCATCCGCCTGCGCGTGAACGCGTTTCAGGGTGGTATCTCCCCGTGGCAGAATGGCCGTGACGCAGTGACAGCCCGGCACCAGGCTTCTGTGCTTGGACATTCATTTCCACCCTCATTTACTAAGGAGCCCCGGAGCGCTCTTGTAACTTCCCTCGGTCACCGTTTTGTCTCAGCCTTTTCAAAATGGAACTGGGACTGCTATCTGCCGGATCTGGAATGTAGGAGTAGTCAAAATCTCGGTGCGGGCACACAGCAAGGGCTCTCGCTGCAGGTACTGGCCTGATCTGCTTGCTCTCTTCCTCTTGTTTTTAGTCTACTGTGACACATCTCAATCACTCAATTTAAAACTGCCCCCTGACTTATGGAGAAAAAAAAAACAAAAAACCTGCCCCTGACAAGCCGGGCACAGTGGCGCACCCCTGTGATCCCAGCCCTCTGGAGGCTGAGGCAGGAGTATTATTGCGAGTTCAAGACCAGCCTGGACTACAAAGTGAGCTCAAGACCAGCTTTAACTGCATAGTGAGACCCTGTCTCAAAACAACAAGAAAAACCAAAACTGCCCCTCACCAAACATCCGTTTCCTGCATTCGTCTTTGTTTTCGTTGCTGTTTTTGGCTCTCAGTCCATAGGACCTTACGATTGTCTCACACATTTCACATTCTTGGACATAAGCTCTAGCAAACTGTGTCCCCCGTGCCTGGTGCCCGGCAAGGAACATGGCCCCGAGAAATACTGGCCAGCAGGGAGAAGGATCAAGTCAAGCCTATTAATTTGAAGCGACCCTGGGCCAGTCCTACCCCTTCGGCGCGCTGCGGGAGGGCACCTGGGTGACCCCTGGCACTCCATCTGTGGGCAGGAGGCGGGCGCTGCACTTGAGCCCCGCGCTAAGCAGCGCACGGAGGAGGCAGCCCTGGTGGAACTTGCACCCAAGGCTGGGGGTTTTTAGGACGTTCAGGTCAGGCGGCCCCGCTCCCGCTCCTGCTCCCCTGAGCCGGATCCTTTTTCGATCCTTCTCCGTGTCCTTTGTAGGCTCCGTGCCCAGCGCACAGGGCAGCGTGAGCAGCCGCGGGCTCTGCTCTCCGCTCCGCATCGTCCTCGCTGGGGTCCGCGGGCGTCTCGGGCGCTCCGGCCCGGCTCTGCGTCCCGCGCCGCCTCCGCCTCCCGTCGGGAGCGCGCGTCTCTTCCGTCTCGGTCTCCGTCGCCGTCCGCAGCGCCTCGCCCGCAGCCCGGGCCGAATACAGCGGAGCTGGGCAGGGCTGAGCAGCCGGTAAGCCCCGGGCGGGACGGGGCGCGCGGCCGAGTCGAGCCGGGCACCGCGTGCGTAGAGTCCGGCGGAGGGAGCGGATTTGGGGGTTTGTTTTGTTTTTTGGTTTGTTTTGGCTGATTTTTTTGTTTTGTTTTGTTTTTCAGCTTGGCAGGGAAGGGTGGGGTGGCGAAGGGGTGGCAGGGCAGGAACAGGATTTGGGGGTGCCCGGGAAGCGTGGGGAGACTGAGGACCCTAGTTCAAGCCTTCCCGCAGTCCGCAGAGAGCACGGAAAGAGCTGGAAGCCCCGCGCCCGGCCAAAGTGAGAAACTTTCCCGGCCACGGGGCTGCGTGTGCCCGCGGGGCCCTGGCCCTGGGCGCCGGAGGAACGCGTGGTGCTTGGCGCAGGCGCCGCGCGTTGGTAGGCAGGGGTTCCGAGCAAGCCCTGCTGGACAGCTCCCTTGTCTGCGGAGCCTAGGTGTGGTGATCACTGAGGACAGGCAAATAGGGGTTTCGGACAGCTCTTCGCTGTAATGATACAGGAAGGCCTTCTCAAAGTAGCCTCCCTGGAAACCTGTTTCAGGCTTGGTGGTTTCCACCGCGTTTCAGATGGCAGATTCTGGGATTATTACACTCAGTTAAATCCGAAGCCAAAAATCAGTCAGTGACGTTTTGAAAGCAAAAAGAGAGACGTGGCCAGGCCACTTCAGGGATGAGACAGGAACTTCCATACATAAATTAACTCTCAGGAAAACCCGGAAAGTAACTAGCAGTGTTTCCAGCATTCAAGGAAAGCTATTGAGGTTGAGATATTAAGCAGATTTTGCCAGTGGACTCCGCCAGTTAACAGTGAGAGACGGGTTCTGGAATCTGGGAGTGTGAATCTGGCCTAGGAGCCTAGCATGCGGTAGATCAGGCGCTGGAGAGAGGCCCGAGGCTGCAAGGGTAAGGTGGGGGTGGGGAGAGCACCCCCACTCCCAAGCTGCTTGCCCTCTGTGAATTTTGCTGTGAAGAGGGAGGTTGCTGGTGACATGGTAGACACACGGTGACATCAACAGGTGACAGAGTAGGTAGAGCTCCTGCTGCCTTTCCTATTGGAAGGGAGAAAGCTTGCCTAAATACCTGTAGGAAGATCTTGAGGCTTAAAAGGACTAGATTGTGTCCTTGGTGACAAGCACCCTAGAGCAGTGAAAGCATTTATTAAAAAAAAGAAAAAAAAAGCCCTCACCTTTGGGCAGGTGTGAGACAGGAGCACAGAGCTGGCAGACTCGAGGGATGAGCTAGAAGACTTCCGAACAGAAACATGGAGTCCTGGCAGTATTCCAGAACAATTCTTTACAACAAAATTGGTGTAGATGCTTTTCCAGCCAGGAAAGCACTTACAACAATTTTTGCCAGACAGACTTTGCTTTTCTTCTCAGCTGTCCACAGTAGATTGGGGTATGCACTATCTACTGTTCCTCACAGGTGAGTTATGGCTCATTAGGGTAATGCTACCAGCCGGCTGAGTCATCGTTTAAAACATAAAGCTCGGTGGAAAACATCAGAATATGTTGCTTGAATAAGGGTACTGTTCTGTGATCTCTCTCTCTCTCTCTCTCTCTCTCTCTCTCTCTCTCTCTCTCTCTCTCTCTCTCTCTC